CAGAAGAAAAGGCGCACGATGACTAACTATTTTTTGTTGCAACTTAGATGGAGATATTCCATTGTGCGGCAAGCGAAGTGTTCGCGCGCTGAACTGACAACCCACAAAAAACACTGCCAACCAAGCAGTTAGGCATTCAGTTCGTATGTACGTCACTTAGTGAGAGTGAGTATAATCAAGCCAGCTAGGCAGTAACCGCTTTTGTTTGTGGCCTTGAATAATGTGTATGTATGTACAAGAGCGAAGGTGGGGTGAAGAACAAATTTTACAACAGTTTACGCGCGATATCAGTTTTTTTTTGTTTTTTAGTTTTTGTGTTTTTGTTGTGTAATATGGCGCTAACGCATGGCGTGTGCATGTTTATGTATAATGTATGAATTTGCGGCAAGGCATACGAACAAGACACACTTTCAGGTGCTGCTACGCAAGGGACATAAGCAAGTAGATACTTTATTTGTGTGTGTTTATTTGCATTTATCCGTTAAATATTTTATAAACCCGCTGAGATTTAAAAGTTTTCAATTAAGTGCAGCAAACTAAAGTTCAACAAGAAAAAAGGAGAAAATGGAATAAAGCCAAAGCCACAAACCAACTCACCTGTGCATTTGTCAGTGTAGAAGTATGCCAAAATTTCGAACATCAACAAAATGCTTGGCATCATTAATTATTCTCGCTCACTCACTTGCTCAAAACTTTACAAAAAATTCACTCACCTGCAATGAAAGAGCGAAAAGAAAGAAGAATAAATAGAAATTACTTGCATTTTGAAAATAAACAGCAAAGCAAGTGTATAAAATATTTGTTATAAAAGTACATATGCACATATACAGGGAGTCAAACAAGTGATCACGTGTTGATTTTTTGTTTAAATCGCGTGGATTTTTAAGATTTATTTTTGCACTTTTTTCCATATAAGCATGAATTTCTTATGAAATAAAACGCAGGAGACCGTAAGCAACAAAATTTCAAAAAAATCCACGCCAGTTTTTGTAAAATGCAATTGTAACATTAAAAGAAAAAAAACAACGAAAAAGTAGTCTGAAAAAAAAATTCTCAAAAATCAACGGGATTTTTTAGCAGCTTGAAACTTGCACTTCATTAGAGTGAAATTGTTCTGAAGATTCAGATAAAAAAGTTAAAATTCTGATGAAAATTTTTTGAATTTTTCAAAAATTTTAAACTATGTGTTTAATATGGTTTTGGGTAAAACTTGGACGGTATTTTTCTAGAAAAGTAACAAAAAAAAATTTGCTCGAAAAAGATTACGAATATTAAAAAAAAAAAAACACGTGGTTATTTGTTTGAGTCACTGTATATGTAAGTTAGGGCGGGTCAATTTGTATCGCAGATTTTTTCGGCTATGCGCGTATAAATACCACAGAACGATTCTGCATATGTGTATATCTAAGCAAATTTGACCAAGAAATCATGGGTCTAAATTCAAGTTGGACTTTGCCAAATTGCGAAAATAGGCATCTCAGCATTTTGCTGTACAGTCGTAAAGAAGTGCTTAAATTTTGTATACAGAAATTCTAAAGGGGGTTCTTTGGTATGAGTAATCCATTTCTGCACTTATCTTTTTCTTAAAACTTCCACCAGAGGTCGCAACCGTGAAAATTTTCACATTTTCTTCGAAACCTATTTTCGCATTTTGGTAAAGTCCAAACTGACTTTAAACCCATTGTCTTCGGCAAATACTGACCCGCCCTAATGTAAGTACTGGCTAATAAGATACACAAGTATGCATGCATAAGTATATAAACGTGTGTTTAATAAAGTGCAAAAACTTGTTCTGTATATACATATGTATGTACACATGTATAGACAAAGATATGTTAGCATGTAAATAGTAACGCTTGCAGTATCTGCGCTTGAAAGTTTGCTAAAAACTTTTAATTGCCTAAATGGCTGACTGGCAGAAAGTGCGCTGTCAGGAAGCGCACACTAGCACAGCGCACTAACACTAAGCAGCAACTAGCTGCAGCTGACGAGCAAGTACCTGTTGCCACTGCTGGGGCTGTTCTGCTTCAAACCCAGCACCGACAAAAAATTCATGTTTATATGAAAAAAAAACCGTAAAAAAATATTAAAAATCAATGCGATTTTTTGGCCGCTCAAAACTTGTATTTGTTTTACTAGAATTGTATAAGCCTGTTAACGGCATGCCCAAAAACATTATAAAAATTCTGGTTAAAAAGCTCGAAATTTGGATAAAAATTTTTGGATTTTTTCTAAGCTCTGTATAAATTTTGAAAATATGATTTATGTGGTTTTCGTTTAAGCATAAACCATATATTTATAAAAAAAAGATCAAAAAAATTTAGCTTAAAAAAAATTTTAAATATTAAAAACGAAACACCATTCATCCACTTTTGACCGCCACTGTACATAACTACTCACAATCAGCTCCATATTTTGGCATAAACTTAAGCTCACACTCACATGCAGTGCGCATTTTCTGCCAAAAGCAACAAAGTTACATTAATTTAAACACAACTCTTTCCTTGTTATCATTGTTGTTGTAATTCAGTATGCAAGTTCGCCGTTTGTTCTGTTTCCATTTCACTTTTTTCCCGGAATTTTCTCATTTTTTGTGGCTCTGCTAGCGTTTCGGCTACCGCAGCCGCAACCATAAATGTGCTTTTTGAAATTCATTAAGCGCGTTGTGAAACTTATGCCAACACAATATACGCTTAATTTGAAACGTTTTTTTCATAAGTGCTAGTTTGCATTTTGTACAACTGTTCATACATATGTATATATGTAAGTGCACGTGCAGCGTACCGACTATCATGCTAATAGGGATGAAGTCACTTGAATCGAGAAGATCCATTCATTCGCTGATGTTTGTTTACGATATAATTTCTGGTCTTATTGATTGCCCGGAGCTACTTGAGCTGATAAGCTTCAATGTTCCGCAACGAACACTACGCTATCACTATCCGTTTCATGTCAAGATAATCAAAGCCAATTACCATTATTTTGATCCCATTGCTAGAGCTCTCATTGAATTCAATCGAATATTTAGTAGCCTTGATCTAGATTTTGCACTCCCGAGATCTCGTTTTGGCTCAATGATTGAATCCCTATATTCTTAGTTATACATTTTTAGTTAAGTTAAACTTGTGAATCTAGTCTGTAAGGTTTATATAATCATAGACTCAATAAATGAAATGAAATGAAATGAAAACGATGCTAAATAGTATATCAGTTTATTTATGTACTTCGGTTTTCTTCTCCGATGTTACACTAACTAAATATTTACATAATTCATACATATGTGGAATTTTTTTTGCAACCTTTGTTAACCCTGTTTTAAACTCACTCTGGGTAGGATCCACCGCCTGGTTTGTGTGGCCATAACGGGGGCCATGCGCTCGTGCCCGACAGAGGCGCTTGGTCTCATCACAGGCATACCGCTTCTGGCCACACCTATTGAGAAATAGGCTTGCTGAAGCGCCTTGAGGCTGCCGAACCTAAGAAGCTTGAAAAGTGGGGACTTAAGAGGGCATTTGAGTGTCTAAAACCATAAATAAACGATCCCGTTAAGCGCCCCCATGGGCATATGCCCAACCATATTCAAAGTGGAAATTTTTACAAATGAAGTATGTGTCTTGACTCTGGCAAAACGGTGTCAACGATAGTAGACAGTTGTAAAAAAGGTGCTGGTAAAACCAGTAGCGGATCCAGGTAGGGGAAATTGGGGAAATTCCAACCGGTTTTCGTATGGGACAGCTTTGCAAACCGTGCAATCCGTGCACCGTGCAAGGGCTTTGCAAGACTCAGAGAATACCCCTAATAGGTTTGTCCCACAAGCTACTTGTGAGCGTATATCAAAGAAACTCGAGCGCGGATATGTAACTCGAAGAAAGGATGCTTTTGAAAATTTTAATTCATGGAAAAAGTGTGTAAAATTTCACTTGAGTCTGAAATTTTAGCTGTGTGCTAAGCACGAAGTATTATGGCATTTAAGTAGGCCTATCAGTTTTTCGAAATCACTGAATTTTCAAAATTTTGAAATTATGTACTCAATTTTAAATTTTTACTTTTTTTGTTATATTTTCGAATTTGTATTATTTTACACAGTTGAACGTCACAGCCAGTTTGAATATTTTCACAGGATCAGAAAACAACAAAAATTAGAAAATTTTGAATTTTATATTATTAAATTTTTTGAGATTTCTTAGTAGCTTCATCAACCAACTACTCTTTCGATTATAGGTACTTGTCTCCTCCTGACACACACTAAAAGAGGGTACTCAAAATGAACAATTCTGCCTCCACCTAACCTAACCTATAAAAATCATGAAATATGCAAAGAAGACATTAAGTATAATTCACAAATGAAAGTGAAGCTACATATTTAACACAAGTGCGAACACAATATGTGCTATCGACTTTGAAAGAAATTAGGAAAATCAAATGACAGAATATGAGCTTAAAAAACGTAATTGCCATACAATTATACGAAAAAATAAGCTAAGTACAACAAAGGTAATACGCAAAAGGTCATTAAGGAAATTTTTACTAAAATATAAAGAAGACCCATATGCTTTTAGAAGCAATGCAGGTGTAGAATAATCACACAAGAAAAAAGTACGTAAGGAGCCCTGGAATGAGCGCACACACACACAGTATTGCTTCATACCACTTCAAAAATGGGTAGCATACAGAAACAATAGCCCAAAAAAATAGTTGCAAAATGCCCACATTTGCATTTGTGGTGAGCGCCAGTTAATGGACGAGAGGGCCAAGAATTCACTACAATCAAAATGTGTGTGTGCGTGTGCTTGAGCTTGTGTGATGAGGAAAAGTGCCAAATGTGTACGAGTATGTAGACAAGTGCACACTATGTAAATGGAGCTTACTGTAAAATGGCATGGACCATTTTGGGTGCTTAACTTTGTTTCTTTAAAATAGAAAGGAAACAACAAGGTAGAGAATTCAAGGCGAGTAAGCGTGGAAAGCAGAGAACATTGTGTGGAACCGGATGTATGTACATATACCTTTTTTTGTTGGCACCTAATTTTTTTTTCCTTAAATATTTTAACATTTCACAACAAATTAAGCACTTTCTGCATGAATATTTACAGAGCAGGCGACAAGCGAATACTACATATTTGCATATGTATGTATGCATTTGCATATTGTATGTATGTATGTATGTACGTACATGCTCTGCTCAGAAGTACACACATACATATCTATGGGAAGAATTTGTGGTACGTGCCTACTTTGGTAAAGGTCGTTTTTGCTTGGTATATATTTTTTTTTTACTTTTGCATTTCCCGCTTTTTTTGGGCACCCTCCCATTAAGTGTAGTGGGTTTTTCGCTTGAAAAGCAATATTCCTAACCAAAAGCAGGGAGCACAATTTAACAATTCCAACATTAGCCGAATTCACTTCCTAGCAAATTTTTTAAGTTTCAAGCGTGCTTAGGTGTGTATTCTCAATGATGATGGTTATGGTTGCTACTTGTTGTTTGTTGGATGTTATACGTAGGTGCCTATTCTTTTATTTACAGGCATTTATTTTTTTTTTTTTTTATATGCCACCCACTTGTGTATTACTGTTTGATATTTTTTGAAAGTGAACAGCTCATTTTTGGGGTTTTGCCTTTTCTTTCTTCGAAGCTTCTAAAGGGACTGTTCTTGAATATAAAATGGTCAAGTTAACCAGAATGTGTTAGAAAATTAGTTGGAAGATGTTGGTTGTTGGGATGGCAAAATAAGAAATAACTTCTTGTTGGCATTGAAGTTCTTTCAGTATTAGATACCCGAAAAGCTTTTTCAACTTTTTCTCATGCCTTAAATTTGGTTAGCAGAAGCATGCAAAATAATTTGTTAATACAGATTTGGCAGTGAATTTTTGTACTTTAAAGAATGTGAGAAGTATTTGGGTAAATTAGGTATAAATTCTTTTCTAAATAACTCAGCTCAAAATGCAGTTTCGATAGAAAGTTATTTCAAGCAGGGACCTTAGATAACACTATGAAGGAAATGTTCTACAACTAAGTGATACATACGAATCCATTTCTTTTTTCACCGAATTTTCGAATTTGAAAATAAATTTTATTTGTAATTTTTATGCAAAATTAAAAAAATTACAATTATTTTTAATTTTTATTTTACAAATCCGAAATAACAATTTTTTTTTAAATTTTTATCTAAATAATCTGTAAGCAACAGTAATTTTTGATTTTTATATTATATGTCTTAGTCAACAGTTATTGAAGACTTATTTATAAAAGTCATCAATAAAAATCAGTCACCGACATTGTTTTTCGCAGATCAGTTATCAAAGCTATATAATTTAGAAATCAAAAATAACTGTTATTTGCAGATTTTTTAGATAAAAATAAAAAATTATTTATATAAAAATAAAGATCAGAAAAACTGTTATTTAACGAGTAATTAATTAAAAGTAAAAAAAATAATTGTTAAATAGTGACTTTTTTAATAAAAGTTATAACTGTTACGGTCCCTGATTTCAAGTACTATTTAAGTATTTTGTTGGAAAGCAAGTTTTCAAAAATGTTTTATTTTTTCCCCTTCCCATCGCCCTCTTTTAACAGCATAGAGGTAAAATTCTTTTCGGTAGTTTCTTTGCCCCTATGAGTAGTTTTTAAAAAGTAGTTCGTCTGAGCAAACACTGATGGGGAAAATTTATTTAAAAAATATTTTTGAAACAACTTTTTTAAATGACCAATTTGGACCATAAATCCTGGTTTTCGACTCCTACGCCACCTATCCGTAAAATTTCTTGTGGAGGTATTCATTTTTATGTAGGTAATAGATATATAAGTATGTATTTTAAACATAAACTAAATCTAGCCATGGATGCAAGTTTTCGAAATATTTCGACCCCCGCATCACAGAAACATGTAACAGATACGCCTTATTTTGACCAGTTTTGCCTACAGTTCATTGTTTATTTAATGTTAAGTATTTTTTATAAAAGTCTAACTCATTATATAAAGAACTGCATATAAATGCACATATCAAACCTTCTAAAAAAACAAAAAAATTTTAAAAATTTTATAAATTCACCTGAATTTTTATTCAGACTTCTTAGAAAAAAACAATTTTTATGCAGTTTAAGTGCAAGTTTCAAGTGGCTACAAAATCGCGTTGATATTTCGACACCTGCGCCACCTAGCGGATTAAATCATCCTTCATATTGCATGGTCATGGGACTCTGAGCTAAGTTTGAAGCTGCTGAGAGGCGACCGCTGTTGGAAAAAACGTTTTCTAATTTAGATATTGCTAGAACCAGGGATCGAACCGAGGTCCTACGGAGTGGTATACACACCCTTAACCACTCAGCCACAGCGGCTTCTTAACTACTTTATATAAAATTCGTCCCGAGTAGTCCCAAAAATCTCAAAATAATACCGAAAATCCCGAAAATACTTAAAAAACCCAAAAATCAAAAGACGAATAACACCGAAAAGTTCCAAAATCTCGAGAATATCCTCAAAAAAATTTAGAAAGGTACCCAACCCTGCTGCTTTTGATTATTTGAACTAAATTCCGCCAAGACAAAAACCAAGCTCTCTTTACTACTTTACAATTCAAATTTGTTGCTTTAATGAATTCGTCTGGTTCACCTAACCTAACCTACAAAATTTTTCTTGCACGTCCAGTTTTTGAGAAAAATAATGTCGAGATATCTGATGCTAGCTTTCAAGGCTCAGGTATGCCTCCAGCTGTTATACTCGAGGTTCAAGTTATCATAAAATTTTGCTTGGATTATGTTGCGTCGTTATTTTTCTTTTTTTTACTTTAGTATGTGCTTATTAATACTTGAGGAAACTCTGCATAACTAATTTGATTTCCAACTTTTTCCGCGCACCTACTCATTTCACACACCTACTTAAAAAAATATATATTTTATATGCCTTAATTTTCTTATCGTCAACACCTTCTTTTCTTCCACAGATGGACTTGGCGACCGTACCACCGGAGCTTGAAGAGCTCCTCATCTGCAGCTGCTGCCATCTGCCCTTCAACGATAACGATGCCCTGCCCAAGCTGTTCACGTGTCGCCACTACTTCTGCCTCAAATGTGTCAATTCATTGCTGCGCGAAGGTAGCGATGAACTCTATTGCGTACACTGTTGGAAACGCACCGAACTGCAAGGACCCGAGCCACGCACCGATAGTCTCCCCACCTACAATGCGATTTTGTATCTCACCCAAAATTTGACTTCGCTCTGCTTGAAAATGAAAGCCGGCGAACGTGACCGCCAGCAACGTTCCTCGTCGATTGCTTCGAATGGTTCAACTGGTGCGCTCAGCGGGAGTGGCGCACTAAATAGTAACACTAACAACAACGACGGCAGTAATGGCAATCTGAGTAGTATTGGTGTTGCCAGCAACAATAATGTAGACAAATTGAAAATGACCGAAAATTGCATGACACATGCCATGCCGAATACATTGTGGTGCAGTGTTTGTAATATTTTGCTTTGTCGCGCCTGTGCCGCCACCGAAGAGCATCGTTCGCATTTGGTCAAGAATAAAATCGAAGCTAAAGAATCACTACATACCGACATATCAAACGAACTGCTCGGCATGCAGAAGACGCTCAACGATGTGCAACATCTGGTATTGAAGCAACGCGATTTTCTGCTCAAAATATTAGAAAGTTGCACTACGCTCAAGACGCAAATTGAATCGGAGTTAATTAATCACATACCCACCCTAGAAATTTCGGAAATACGTGAAAATTTATGCAAGGCTCGAATATGCCTCGAAATGCTGGACAAGCAAACGCCCGCCGAGGCAATGAAACTATATACGACGCTGCATGGCGAGAAGCAGCGCCTCATGGCCAAGTATCAAGAAATGTTCCTACAATGCAAGCTCGACGATATGATACGCAATTGCGGTTATGTTTTCGATTTTGATCTGATCAAACAGGCGCTCGTGCAAATGCATAATTGTGTACTCAACGGCGGCAATTTGGATAATTTTGGTGTGGGCTCAGTGATTGGCGGTTTGAATGGCATTACTGGTAGCCATCAGAATCCTATTTTACTCTTGGCCAACTACTGCATTTCTCAATTGTACTCGCGACACATGTTGCTGCTCAAGCAGCAACAGCAACAACAACAGCATGCACAACAACAACAACAACAGCAACAGCAGCACCAGCAGCAACAGCAACAGCAAAATTTGCTTACCAACGGCCTGCTCACGTCCATGATATCGCAAGTAAGCCTCGCCACGTCTATCAATGGCAATCTAACCAGCTCGAATGCCAATTTTACACACGCCACATACGCACAGGCGCTGCAACAGAATCAACCGTCGAGCAACAGTGCAGCGCAGCAACAGCAGCAAGCCAACAATCCGTCGTCGCCCGTACACAAGACATACGCCGACATCATTGCACTCTCCAACAAATCCACTTCGAGCTTGCAATCTGCTGCCCAGCAGCAGCAGCAGCAACAACAATTGCTGCAACAACAACAACAATCAACGGGCAGTAACTACACAGAAATCGCTCCAATCGGCACACCGGCCACAACCACAGCCACATCGGTAGTTGTTGGCGCACAGCGTAGCAGCACCGCTTCACATCTCTTTTCCAGCAATGACCTCAACGGATTAGGTTTAAGCCTCTTGCATTTGCAGCAACAACAAACTGCTTCCAATTCGCAGCAACAACAAACGAAATCAACATTGTTACTCAATCCCAGCGTACACGTCTACCCGATTTACTATTTTAATATCGAAATTAATGGGCAACATTCGGGACGCATACTCATAGAGGTGCGCAGCGATGTGGCGCCAAAAATGGCTAAGAATTTCAATGCACTCGCCACGCAAGAGCTCGGCTATGGCTATAAGGGTTGTCACATATTTCAATGCTGGGAAAATGAAAGTATTATTACCGGTGATTTTGAATTGAACAATGGGCGTGGCGGACGTTCGGTATACGATGAGGGCTTCTTCATGCCAGACGATACCAAAATACTAGCCATACGCGGTTCGGTTGGCATGCGACGCAGTCAAAAGCGTCATGATAATCTAGGACTTGTAGGTTCACAGTTCCGTATAATTTTAAGAGAGATGCGTGGTTTTACGGGCATTTTCGCTTTTGTGGTGGAGGGTTTGGATTTGGTGGAGAAGATATCACAAACGGGTGATGCGACTGGCAAGCCGCAGAGTAGTGTCGTTATTGTTAGTTGCGGCAAGTATCAGTTGGGTTAGGCGTATAGCTTTTAAGAAATTCGATAGCAGAATAAGCCGAAAAGTATACAATTTTGGTAAGCGAACGTTTGCGATTTTTTTTTATTTATGAAAGTATAAGGTTTTAATACGAGTTTTAGTTTAGAACGATAAAAGGACGGTGTTTGCATATTTCAGAAACACGAAGTTATTGCAGGGAGTGTGTGCGTGTGTAAGCCGAACGCCATATTATTACAGCGAAATATTGATATTTTCTTTCATAAGCAATCGTTTACAGTGGGTGCCATCAAAACATTGGATCTCAAGCATAAATAAAAAGTGAGCTTTTCGCAATAAAGGCTGTACCGAAGTGCACTTTTTTTGCACAGCTGAAGCGCAGATATTTAGAGGCGAAGTATAGTTCAGTCAGTCAGCTAATTTTATCCAACAAAAATAAAATTTTGTTTAATTTCTATTGTTCGCCTTTTTTATTTTTGGTGGTTGAATACTTTTGTGCCACCACTTTGAGAACATTTGAGGAATTCAGACTTAAATTATGAAAGTAGCAACTTCACGAGTTATATTCACAAAATTACGGTCAATGGAGATAACTTGCAAACGAAAATAGTTTGAGAGAAGCTAGCACAGAAAATGTTGAGGCTTTAGGATTAGTTACACCTCCCATCACAGCGGTAAATGGAGTGTCCATTGTAAGAGAGCTTGCGCAATTCGAGATGAAGAATAATCTTCCTTTTCGAATTTTTTTTTCTAATATTGCTAAGGAAATGTTTATCGAAATCGTTAGACGGCTCGAAAATAAAACTATGAATCACATTTTTCTTGTAATTCCGTTTTTTTGTTTTAAGGATATGATTACGAAATATTGTTGCATGAAAACTCAAAACAGGAACAATAAGAAAAATAATATATATAAACTATATATAACTACAAACATACAAAGTTTCATTTAAAACTATTTTGAAAACAAAAACAACAACAAAAACAACCGAAATGACTTAAATAATTTGTCACCGAAACAAACATACAAGAACAAAGTGAAAACATCTAGGGAATTTCTACTCATGGAGTAGTAAGCGTCATTTTAGAACTTTTGTAGAGCGATGAATAAAAAACCAAAAACAAAAATCAAGAAAACTATACGATGAATATAGTTAAAATACGGAAATACTACGAAAATCTTCTATAATTACTTACATGCATATTAGGGTGGTGCTTAAAAATCAACATAATGGTGCAGCACTTGGAACAAATATAAGAAAATTGCAAAATTTAAAAAAATTTGGGCACACTACCCGGGTTTGCAAAATTGAAATTATTTTAAATCGAAAAATTCGGCAGCGATATTTTGAATTTGTATGATTAAATTTGAATACGCTGAGCTATAGTTGGTCAAATTGCAAGTTTTGTCAAATTTTTGCGTGTAGGAAAAATTAAAAATTCTTTTAAAAAATTTTTTTTTTTAATTTTGAAATTTTCATTTTATTTTGTACAAAGAATAAAATAAAGCTGTGCCCGAAACAAAATTTAGAGGTTGATATTTTTAAGGACCACCCTAATGCATATACATACATACATACATACTTAGGTAGGCCGATTAACGAAACCAAAAAGTATAAAATATATACATACATACAGAAGAGAATAAAAATAATAATATATGTATGTATAAACTGAGCCAATAACGCTATTGAAGAACTAAATCTTATATAATAAAAATAAAAAAAAATAAAAAATATACGATCAACTGCATAGTTATTTATAAAAATATTATCTCGATGTGTAGCTTTCGAATGTTAAGGTTAAATCAAACCAAATAGAAAAATACATATGCAGATATATATGTAAAATACAGAAACTCAATTAAAAAAATAACGCATATATTTAGTAGAAAAAGACCAAATGGATGTACACAAAGACAAGTTAAAAATATACATACATTCATATAAAAAGTGTTAAGAACTAATAGTTATATATATATGAATAAAGATATATTAAATGTTGAACTTGAATGTCAAAAGCAAACAAACACAACAACAGCAACACAAAAAGCGTCTAAAACTTAACTGCATAAGAAGAGAATTAAATGTGAAACTAAATATATATATTGCATATAGAATATAGAAAACTATCCAGTATTAAATGAAAAATTCCACAATATTTATAGAAAAATGGTGAAATTTAGCAAGCAAAAAAAAAACTATACTTACATACAACTTATATACCAAAAAATAGTAAGACGAAAAATTTAACTAAAAACGAGAAGAATCCATACAGAAAAAAAAATAATCAGAAACATGTGTCGAAATTGATAAATAGATTTATCTAAAATAAATTTTTTTGGTTTTAAATGCGCTACAAGTGTACCTGTCTTCAAACGTTACATACAGAAAATTTAGAAAAATATTGATCCAAGCATGCGCCAAAAACAACGCATGCGAAGCGCGTCTTACGGTTTTAAAACCGATAAAAAAAAACACACACACACACACAACAACCAACTTTAATGATATACGAGTACCTATACATAATATAACTAGTTAGTGGATCCCTTCTACGTTTTGAATGTACGAGTTTTTTCATACTACAACCATATTCTAACTTTACTATCTTATTACTTTTTTGTATGCTGCGATTGTCAGTGCTAACTAAATATAAACTTATTTATACGGAAACGAAACGATAGTTAAATACATACAATCTACAAAAGCACTTACACGTACATACGTAGTTGAAATTTAGATTCGAAGCGCACGTGTTTGAAAAAGAAAATAAGAAACCCCAGCGATTTTCAATGTTATAACTTTACGAAAAATTGTATAACAAGAATACATCGGTATGTAGCACTAAAAATCGAATAAATAAGGCATCTATATATGTATACAAATATACAGGCATACATAACTAAGAGTATGCATGTATTTTTCGAAAACACTTTCATACACTAACCACGAACTTAATTGCCTACTGGCAAATTAACTAAAGCATGTTTCATAAAACAGAGTACAACTTCCTTCCTGCCTATTATTTGAAAAAAAAACAAAACCTAAAATTTATGGTTTCTAATAGGAAAACTCAATATTGATAAAATCAATTCACAGCAGAAATTTCCCATAACCTAAATTTTTTTTTAATTAGCTAGAAGTATGCACTGGTTTACAGCAAAAATGTTCTATATAATGTTCCTATGTAGAATTGATTGCTCGGTGATTCCGAGCTTTGTGATGGTGATACTTTTTCTATGGATACGTTTTCGAGATATTTTCAATTTACCGTTATTCAGCTCAAAGCAAAAATTGGTTCGCTTTAATCAATCATATCTTACGAACCAATTTAAAAATTTTAATATAAAATATAGCAAATGAAAGCTAATGAAATTCTCCATAAACCGTATATACATCACTTTCCGATAGGGCTTATAGTTTCTGAGAAATTAATTAATCATTCCAGCTTAAAAAATTAAGAAAAATTTAAAAAATAAAAGGTTCTGTGCCAAATTTTTGCATTTGTACTAAAGCCTGTTCTGTTACAAATTTCATTGGCTTGCAATTGCCAATTTTCGCTTTAAGCTGAATAACTGCAAATTGCAAATATCTCGAAAACGTATCCATAGAAAGAAATAACCCGATTTTCGGAATCTCCGAGCAATTCTACATAGCAATTGAATAGTGGCGTTTGGAGAACAAAAACCAAACTAAAATTTGTGATCCAGTGTGATTTTCTTCTCAGAAGACGAGTTCCGTAACATTTATACAGCATATTTCATTTTATTTCTTATAATTGTTATAGTCTATGGTTTAAAGCGATGTCAAGCACACTCACACTATCACAAATTGCAGCGCAGTCATGCTTAAGAGCCAAATTAAGAGCTAAGGTGTGTTCGATTACCATGATATTGCAACCCTGCCGGTAAAAAATAGGATTATCCAAAGATTAATCTTAAATCGCTCCTTTGCGAACAATGGATTACTCCGCATATCCCCGAGCCTCATGCATTTTATACTTCTTTTTAGCATTGCCCGTCCTTATGGGCGAGCCCTCTAATTGGGAGTATTCGGTTCTAGTAATACTGCTCGTTGGTATATTTCGCGACTAGTTCAGGACCATTTCGGGGTTTTTTGATGATAATTTCAAGACTAGTTCTAGAAATGTATTCTTTTTGCTTTCATTCAATTATTCATTTTCCTGATTACGCCAAACTTTAACTTTCCGATCATCTAATATGTATGATTATCGTGGATTTCTGTTGTGCAAATAAACTAGTTGAAGCATCCTTCAGAATAAAAATAGATCGGAGCATCTGCTGAAGTCGTTATAGGAAGCACTTAACTTCTTCGGGTGCCTTCCGATGACAGGCCCTTGACTGCGGTTAAATCCCCGCAGGAGAGCACGAGTTGACCTTTGACCATTAATCGTAGCGCGGTAGCGCGGCCAAAACCATTCGAGGACTGCAAAAGTGGAACCGATCTGCGCCCTCTCTCGCAGGTTCGTCCGCCTTCGCGTTGACGCTTTAAGCATGTTAACTTCTCATAAAAAATTTCTGCTGTGAGTTTTCATCACATTTACTACGATAAGATACACGAAAGCTTTCGTCATTAATAGAAATCAAACACGAATATTTCAATTTCATCTCATACAAAAAAAAATCGAAGAGAACAGGAATAGACTCAGAAGTGCAGGCGATAATCGTTTTATAGAGATATGGCGGAAAAAGAAAATTTTAAAGACAGAAATTTTACTCTTAACATGTCGGTCTATATTTAGAAGAAAAATTACGAAACCCAATCTTACATCAAACACATCGCTAGGTTTCTATGCGTAAATGTTGGCAACTCTTTTTTTAAGTTTTTTCCTCTTTTCTTTTAAATGCTCAAAATTTAAGCAACGAAATTAGCTGCCAATTTGAAACTAACGAATTACGAAGCGTTAGTCGATTTTTTTTAACTTCGTTTCTCGGATAATTTTTTTTTAACAATAATAAGTAATAGTCTTATTTGACAAAAAGGAAAATCGGCATATTTTACTCGAAAAGAAAATTGTATATTTATAAATTCCATTCAACTGATGCATAATCTCTTGACATATCCAAAATTACAAAAGTAAAAAATTATAAATTAAAAAAATATATAAGTGTATAAACGCAAGTGGTAAATTCGTTAAAAAGTAAGTTTATATTAAATTTCAATCAATTATTAAAGAAAAAACTACTAATTCGTGTGGCAAGTTAGAGAACCAAATTTGAAATCGGTTATTATGTATGTAAATATATGTATGAGAGGCGAGAGCTCTTTAATTGAATTACTTTCGAAATTTACACAAGTAATTTTTAAACTTACAAACGTGCATACATATGTACAGTATACATATATAACTTGAATAAACAATTAATTATCAGTCGAAATTATTATAGTAGATAATTTACTAATCGAACTTATACGCCACATAAACACGCATACATACAAACAAAGTATAGATATACTATGAACTATCAAGGACATCCAAAATAAGAAAAAATTAATTAAGGTCTAAAGTTACGAGTACCAAATCATAACTATTGGCAACTCTACATATTCGTATGCGATGCTAATCAGCAAAGCAAGGCAAAGTAAACAAACAAGAACAAACAAACAAACAGCAAACAAATTGCAAACAAAAATTACGCTTTAAATGTTGTGTGATTAAAATATTAAGACAATTGATGAATTGCATAGTTTTACGCGATACGTTTCATACATACATACGTAGTACATACATACATACATATTATAGCAAAAGTAAAACCGAAAGAAGAAAAATTAAATACAAAATGCTATTTATTATCTATGTACGCATATATTTAGGGAGAATACAATTTTTTTTTTTCGGTGGTAGCTGGTTAATTTCATTAGTTACATATAAGTAGCGGTAAGGGTACGCGATAAATTTGAGTGATTCAGAAAGAATATTGGAAGACAATTAGAATGGCTATGAAAGGCTCTCAAGGTTTGAAAAAAGTAATTTGATTTAAGATGTCCGCTAAAATTGCACGCAAAAAAATCGCATCAAAAATCCTAAGAAGATTTCTTTATAGCCTTCGGTACACCCTCGGTCAGAAAGACCTTGCTGAAATGATAATAAAGCTAAAAATTTTTACGAATTTTGAGAACAGCATTATGAATGCAATGCCAAAAGTACCCATCGTTTCTAAGTCTGCAAAAAAAATTATTCAAGGTCAAAGGTCACATAAATTGCTTTTTCGCATTTTTCAGCCAAATGATGCGGTTTCTCATAAAAATATGTGAGGCGAAGGTGTAGACCAATTTCCACTGTGCTGGCTGAGTAGTGTTTTTGGGGTGTTTTTTAACGTCTTTTCCCCGGTATGCCTACTCCACGACTTTCCTGTTTAACTCAATAATATTACATGCAATAAAAATAGGAATAGAAGTGATGAAAGCGGTGTGAATTAAACATAGTTAGAGAAAACTATTCATCTAATTGATAACTGCACTAGTCTTTTGCCTCACCTATTTTTGTGATGAAGCTTACAAATAAATTTACGGGACCTTTTACCTTCAATAAATTTTTGCAGACT